ACAATGATACTTATTCTAGATGCTATGATGAGATATGAGATGTAGAACATTTTGCAATCAAATGTGTCAAATTGAAAGAAGTTTTTCAACATTTTAACAAATGGGGCTCTAGACTCCCATTATTTGTTAAGTTCAAAGATTATTTTAAGTGGTTGAAATTTTTTGCCCTGTATAATAGTTTTCTAGTTAATATTTATTGCAATGCTGTATTTATCTCTTGGAAAGCTAGAAATAAATTCATTAATGAAGGAACAGAAGAGAGCTGGATTGTGACTGCTACCAATGCTATTAGCATCTCTTCAATTTCAAAGTTTTCTTGTAACTTCAACTCAGGTAACTGGGATGCTAACCAGTCAATTAGACTGTCTAATCTTTGGCATCCTCCTCCTCCTGATTGGTTAATGGTTAATGTTAATGCTTCACTATGTTCTTCGTATAAAGAAGGAATTGGTAGGGTTTTTTGTGATAGCAAAGGCAGATTTTTATTGGCATATGGGAAATCATGTATTCATTAGGATGCTTCATAATTGGAGCTTTAGCTATTCATTCTTTGAAGGATGTCATAAAAGATCATATGATGTTCAAATGCAAAGGGATTATCACTGAAGCCGACAATTATAACATTATTAGATATCTTCAAGGGGCTCTGAATAACGGTGTCCAGGATTTATCAAAGATTTTTTAATCATATCATTTTCAATTGTACAGGTAGAAATAGTAATAAGTTACCAGATTTGTGTGCTAACTTTGCTCTTTTTAGTTCTTTTATTTGGGAGGACTTTAGTTTGAATAAGGTTCCTTCTTCCTTTTTTAACTTGTTAAATGAGTAATCTAGTTTGCAGTTTGTTTATTTGTTTTTGCTTCATTAATGCAAATGTTTGCTTCTTTAAATAAAATAAAATAAAATAATATTGATTGAGATTTTATTTATTTTAGGCAGATATATTTGATATTACTTTTGTTTGTGCGTACTAACATTTTAGGTACATCATATACTTCTCTAGATTACTAAAGAGTTTAGGTAGAATAAGATGTTAATCAAAAGAGTTTATAATTTTAACTTTCTTATATTTTCTATTTCTTGAGTGTGGCCATGTAAGGGTGTATGGAAAATTAGTGATCATGCACATAGGGGGAGTGAGAAATTTTTGAGATGAAAATTTTCTAAACTTATTATACCATATGACTACGATCATACTGTATGATCAGTTATACAGAGAAGATGTCAATGGCTAGTTGAATCATTAATGCTATTAAATTGATCATATTGTACAATGTAGATCATAATATATGATTCATTTCAATCTGAAAACCACTAGATTCTTGATAAATTAAGCAAAAATTTTAAAAATAAATTTTTAACTAATCATACTATAAGATCCTAATTGTATTATATAATTTTTTAAATTTTAATTAAATTATTTTTTGTGATTAGTTAAATAAATTTTTGCCCTGTATAATAGTTTTCTAGTTAATATTTATTGCAATGCTGTATTTATCTCTTGGAAAGCTAGAAATAAATTCATTAATGAAGGAACAGAAGAGAGCTGGATTGTGACTGCTACCAATGCTATTAGCATCTCTTCAATTTCAAAGTTTTCTTGTAACTTCAACTCAGGTAACTGGGATGCTAACCAGTCAATTAGACTGTCTAATCTTTGGCATCCTCCTCCTCCTGATTGGTTAATGGTTAATGTTAATGCTTCACTATGTTCTTCGTATAAAGAAGGAATTGGTAGGGTTTTTTGTGATTACAAAGGTAGATTTTTATTGGCATATGGGAAATCATGTATTCATTAGGATGCTTCATAATTGGAGCTTTAGCTATTCATTATTTGAAGGATGTAATAAAAGATCATATGATGTTCAAATACAAAGGGATTATCATTGAAGCCGACAATTATAACATTATTAGATATCTTCAAGGGGCTTTGAATAACGGTGTCCAGGATTTATCAAAGATTTTTTAATCATATCATTTTCAATTATACAGGTAGAAATAGTAATAAGTTAGCAGATTTGTGTGCTAACTTTGCTCTTTTTAGTTCTTTTATTTGGGAGGAATTTAGTTTGAATAAGGTTCCTTCTTCCTTTTTTAACTTGTTAAAGGAGGAATCTAGTTTGCAGTTTGTTTATTTGTTTTTGCTTCATTAATGCAAATGTTTGCTTCTTCAAATAAAATAAAATAAAATAATATTGATTGAGATTTTATTTATTTTAGGCAGATATATTTGATATTACTTTTGTTTGTGCGTACTAACATTTTAGGTACATCATATACTGCTCTAGATTACTAAAGAGTTTAGGTAGAATAAGATGTTAATCAAAAGAGTTTAAAATTTTAACTTTCTTATATTTTCTATTTCTTGAGTCTGGCCATGTAAGGGTGTATGGAAAATTAGTGATCATGCGCACATAGGGGGAGTGAGAAATTTTTGAGATGAAAATTTTCTAAACTAATTATACCATATGACTACGATTATACTGTATGATCAGTTATACAGAGAAGATGTCAATGGCTAGTTGAATCATTAATGTTATTAAATTGATCATATTGTACAATGTAGATCATACTATATGATTCATTTCAATCTGAAAACCACTAGATGCTTGATAAATTAAGCAAAAATTTTAAAAATAATTTTTAACTAATCATACTATAAGATCCTAATTGTATTATATAATTTTTTAAATTTTAATTAAATTATTTTTTGTGATTAGTTAAATAAATCAAGGTTTAATAAATATGGCTAATCATACTATACAATCTAAATCATATTGTACCACTAACAAAGATGAAATTTGATCGTACTAGAGATCATACTAAACAAAAATTTTAATTTTTGAAATAAACATATAATATAATATCTATATTGTATTGTACAAACTATTGATATTGAACTGACCGTACTGTACGATGTGAATCAAACAAGGCAATCAATAGCGACAAATTCCAATCATCCTCATAATCGTCATTACAAATAGAGAGAAATTAAACTAATGGTACCGTACAAACTTTCAATGATATTGTTTATTATGTTTTCTTATTTTAATAGTTCATATGAATGAGTATTTTCATTGTACTGGATGAGTCTTATTTTTGAACAGATCGCACTGTATGAACCCAAATTTTACTATACGAACATAGCCAACTTGTTGACATCATATTTGGCAAGCAAAATCATCTTGTCAAATGTCGATATAATTCAAATAGAATTGCATTTGAATTAATAAAAGTTAATTTGAACACACAAATTAAATTTAAAGATGTCAACTTCGATTCGACTCATTTTAATTTGGCTCGCCTCGACACTGTTGCCAATTATGAAATTGAGTCAATTAATTATTGTATTGAGTCATTGAGTTGAACAAAGCCTAAATTAATAAAAATTGATTTAATTTTTATCAAAGAAATTTAATAGAGTATCGTCAAGTTTGTTTGAATTAATTCTAGTGAATTTTAACCTTGGTAGTTTTGATTGATTTAATTTAATGTGTCTCGACTGGACTCAAGGGCAATTTAACTTTCCTAACTTCAAACTAATTAATTCAAATTCATATTTGACAAATTTTTATTCATTAACTCAGCAATGTGTGTTAATTAGCCACATCAGGTTTTTTAATCATCTCAAAAATTTCCTAGTTAAGTTTAAGCCATTAAATCAAGAAGTGAAGGGTAGCAAGCAATCTTCCCAACCCTTAGATCAAGGGCTTCCAAGGGTTAGATTGTAAATTAAACATGAATTTTTTTATCTTAGATTTTGAAGAAGGGGCTAGGGCTGACCATAACTCTAATATATATGTTTCATTCTCTCATGTTGCCCTAGCCATCACTCTCTCATTCCACAACTGCATTCCACATCTCCTAGACATTTCTACACATCTCTCCCTCATTTAGAGTTGCAAGCCCTCTCTCCCTCTTGACACTACAATAGACGCTCCCTCCTCTTCTCTATCCATCCAAGCAAAAGGAAGAAAAAAAAAAGGTCTACTCAAAGGTCTGACCCCGCTCTCCTTGTATAACAAATTTCATCCCTTTGCTTGTGCCGTGCTTTCATAGAGAATGAATAAGAAAATGAGGTTGACGGAAGAGAAGAATAGAAGGTGGCCTTGTTCAAGCGGCTTACTTGTGCAATTGAAGTCAGTAACCTTCCTCACCAATGGCAATCTTCTCTTCATCTTCTTTCTCATTCTCATTTCATTTTTTAGAAATCTAGGCCAATATTGTTCCTTTTATTTATAGAAATTATAAAATTAAGATGTCTTCTACTTATTAAATATAAGGGTTTCTTTCCTTCCCTTGAGAATGTATGTGTTGTAGTGCATTGGCCATGAATTCATGAGGTTTTCTTAACTAATTTTTCTTCATTTAAGTTTGAAATTGGCAAGTTCTCTTCTATTTTTCTTGGTTTGTCTTCTTTAATTAACTTTGTAATTAAGGATTGAAGGGTTAAAACCTAGCCTTTTCTTGATTAAAATTTGAGAAATTTTTTTAGCATGCAAAAAAGGGAGGCAAGTCAATATCTACTTCTTCTTATATAGATATCAAGTACAATTTTTTGAAGTTAAATAAACCAATGGGATTTGGATCTTTACAAACAGACGAGTCTCTTAAACCTTTCCTTATAATGACATGACATATTGCTATATTATATTAATAACTCAGTCTATGTTTATGTGCCTTGGAATCTTACTGATTTAATGCAAAGTACATGACTAATGACGTAGGAAAATGAATCATTACAACAATATTATATTACATCTGATTTCCTTCTCTTACCACATTACAAAACAAATCACATATAATCAAAATGGTTACTAATGTTTTGTTAAGAATGTATAATGTTCATTAATCAAGAAAGTTATTGGTCACTATTTCAGATATGTGTTTGCATTTCTTTTTCTTGAAATGAATCTCCTATGAGATGAGCATATTGCTTGAAGGATATATATATATATATATATATATATATATAGACAGTCGTTGAGCCAATCATCACCCATTCTACTACGTAATCGATGTTTTACAATCCTCATTGCAGAAAATGCTCTTTCCACTGCAGCGGTAGAAACTGGTAAAGTCAATGCTAAAGTAATGAGTCTGTAAACAAGCAGATACACATCATCTTTCTTGAACTTAATAATTTGCTTTGAAAGATCGGCAATTCTGTTTAGAGAGGAGAACTCATCACTGGTACGCATATCAATAATATATGTTGATAATTGAATTTTAAGAGCCACAAGATCAAATGTCAAAAAAATCTTTTGGATATAACTCTTCTAAACGTATCAATTTCCTCTCATCATAAACTTGGAAAGTATCAGTTGGGTTTAAGCATGCCACACAAAGAAGCAACTCAGTGCAAGATTCAGAAAAGCGATTATTTATCTCTTGAAGTTGCATGTCAACTACAGTATAAAATAGCTCAACATGATAATGATGTAGGTTTGTTATTTCTTCACCTCTTCGTACTATTCGAAGACGAGTTTTGTATGTTTCATTCATCTTTGGAACAATAACTTCAAAAACACTACAAAAATGAGAAACTTCATCTAGTAGAACAGTCCATCCACTCTCCGTTAGTACCTGTAGCTGATGTTCAGATATTTGCACCAATTTCATTGCATTTTCAATGTCCTGATCTTTTCTTTGTAGCGATTGCGATAACTCATTCGTAATCCCCAAGATATCAATCATCAAATGCATTGTGAAATGAAATCAAATGACTCCATCACATTAATTAAAGTGCCTGCTTCAACTGATTGTTGATCATTTACCCCTTCTTCTTTAATGATCTTGAGCACCTCGATTACTGAAGCATACATTTTTATGAGACTAATTAAAGTATGAAAATGTGAACTCCATCGTGTATCACTTGACCTTTGTAAATTAGTCTCTTGATTCAAACCTCTGCTGCTTATTAGATTGCCAGCTTTAAGATGTGAAAGAAGTTTTTCTTGCTGAATTGCTTTCATAGTATCTGATCTCTTACAAGATGCTCCAACAATATTTATAATTCTTGAAGTAAACTCAAAAAGATGTTTCACTTGCCAATGATTCTTCGTAACAGCTACTAAGCATAATTGCAGTTGATGGGCGAAACAATGAATATAAAAAGCTTGAGGGTTATCATTAAGAATGAGTGCCTTCAAACCATTAAATTCTCCACTCATATTAGATGCCCCATCGTAACCTTGACCACGTATCTTATGTAAGCTCAATGAATGTTTTGCAAGTGTTTCTTCTACTGCAGCTTTAAGTGTTACTGCATTTGTTGAAGCAACATGTTTAATACCAATAAATCTTTCAATAACCTGCCCTTTTCTATCAACATATCTCACTACTAATGCCAACTGCTCCTTGGTTGATACATCACGCGTCTCATCAACAAGAATGGAAAAATAAGAATTGTCAATATCATTTATGATAGAAGCCAATGTTTCAAACGATGCTGCATAGCAAATTTCCTTCTGAACTTTGGGTGAAATTAACTTCAATTTTGCACTTGCATTTTCAAAACTAACCTTCTTGATTTCTTCATTGTGGTCAGCAAGAAAGTGAAATAATTCTAAATAGTTTCCTTTATTATTTGAATCAGATGCCTCATCATGACCACAAAATGACAAACCTTGCTTTTGAAGAAATCTAACACAGTCAACGGTAGCAGACAATAGAATCCGGTATTCTTTTTTATTCTTATCATTTTTACTTAGCCATAAAGTAGGAACACTCTGTAATTTAAGATTTATTAAATCTACACTTTTCTGTCTTGCTTTATTGTGAGCACTATTATGTTTCCCGACATGAGCTAATAACTTTTCTTTCCTCTTCCAATTCTTAAAACCTTCACCAACAAAAGAATCACCACCACCCTGACTTATACTTGTCTGCTCCTGAGGTTTGAATAGGTAATAGTATAAACAAAATGCAGCATCTTTGTGTACACTGTACTCCAGCCAGCTTGGATATTCTTCAAACCATTTAGAATTAAACCTTCGAGCTACATTTCCTATTATTGTTTGGGGGAAGTTATGATTTTTTGGCTGATAAGGACCCTTCACCAAATATGCTCGCCGAACTCTATCCCTATGATTCACATCATAATTCCATATAGAAGGTTGAAGCCCAGGGTCAATAGAAAGATTATCAATGTCGACCTCAACACATTCCTTCCTTTTCAAATATCGATCCATGAACGAATAACTAAGCATAATAAAAATTAAATTAACCTACTAAAATGTAAATACAAAAAACATTAAGCAGGTTAAAGCGAAAGATTTAACTATATTTTATGTTGCAATACATAATAACATAAATGTTGAAAATATAACTAAAGAACAATACAAATAAACAAAAAAACATTAAAAAAATAATGCTGGAAATACCTTATGGATTACAAGTTGGTACTCAGCCACTCGACAAAATAAGCATGAACTTTCAATGCAAAGAAATCGTTGTTGCAGCCCTCAAACAGTGAAACCCGATAGAGCTTTGAATGCAATTGCAAGCAAAACTGTGTAATAGGATTTAATTATTTAAAGTTCTCAAAATCTATTTAATAAAAAAATTAACATGAACAAATATCAGGGAAAAAACTTATATATATATATATATAGAAGGAGATTTGTATATATATATTATTCATTTTCTATGAATGGCTAAACATATATGTGTGTTGATATTTATTTTCTATGAAAACTGTGAAATTATTTCTTGAATTTTCTTCTTGGAGCATTGAGGGCATTCCAGTGAATGTTTTTTTTTTTTTTTTCAAATATACGAGACTTATTTTGTTTAGTGAGTAGGATTGTTGATTTCTTATTTTGCATTTTGATATTTAAATTTCAAATGCATCATGTGTTATTAAAGATGTACATGAAAATTTGTATAATGTTTGTTCTCCAATAAGCCTTGTGTGTGGGTCTCTTTGAAGGATATTGGAAATAATTTGTGCTATGTGATGTTAGATAGGATGTTGATATATTAATGAGGCAAGTTGAATATCACATTTTTCTAAACTTATTTCTATATAATTTTTGAGCAAATTAATGTCAATTGGAGATTAAATATTTATATATATCTTATTTCATGAATGAATTCAATGATTTGGGCTACATATTTGCTTTATAATCTCATTTGCTTTATGTCTCTCTCTTGAGTATTTATAGTTCTAATAAAGGGTTACTTTCTTTATGCTGGAAAGCTTCATGAGTTGGAAGGTTAAAATAGTGTGTATATTTAGCCAATCTTAATTATGGGAATGAGATGTGTACATGCTTATGCTACAACAATTTATAATTGGTTATAGATTTCAAGAGTCCATATGCCTACTGATGCTTTGATAATATGTGTGGAGATATTGGAAAGGCTTCTTCGTTGAATTCAAAGAATTATGGTTATGTTGGTAAGTTTTCATTTCAATGATTGAATGCAAAGTTCAATAGCTTTATGTCAGAAGGTATCTTGAATTGATTGGAAGGGAATGTTAGATCTTTGCAAACTTTATCATCTGCACTCATAAACCATTGCTATAAAAATATGTGCAAGATGACATGCATTATTTCAGGTATGAATATTGAAGAACATTCATGTATTTTATGTTTTAATTATGAGCATTCATAAGTTTTGTATAAAGTATTTTGGTTATGTTAGAAAATTATACATGTATAACTATGTTCCATTTATATATCTGTAGAGTCTTATGTTGTGTTTTGGGAAGAAGAATGCGTTGGAATTTCTTTATATATAGAATTAAACATATTGGAATTGTTTCTTGCAAAGTAACATACATTTTGAATTTGTTCTAATTGAGATCACATCCTACACCACTAATTCTTTGAAGTTGCATTTGATTTGATTTACAGTTTAACATATTCACTTATATGTTAATTCATATTAGCTTCTATATTTTTATATATGAAATTCTAACACATCTTTCTCTCTTAGTGTTATTTGTGAAGGAACGATGGAGCTAGATGGAAGTAAAAACTAAGGAAATCAGTTGCCTCTATTTCTCCCAAAGGGAGGTGCTATGGCCAGAACCACCATTGAATTGCTCCGGTGAGGTAAGTGTTTTTAAACTTAGAAGGCCTAGGATCCATTGTTGTGTGCTCTCCCAGGCTTAGGTTTATGTAGTAATCCTTGTATCTAATTTATATATATATTTATCTGTAAAACTCAAAATATGTTGATGTAGTTTATTTACATCCATGTATATATTCAAGGGTTAGTGACAATGATTGCAATCCTATATAACCCTAGTGTCATTTAACGATAATAATTAAGGATGAGTCTTAATAAAATTAGGTTATAGAGAACATAGTGACACTACACCCTAAGATTAATATATAATATTGATTTGAAATAAATCAATCTCAAATAAAAATCAATTAATCATTAACTCTTCTTTAAGGCTTGGAAACTCCAATAATTAATAATAATTCAACTAAAAATATAAAGATATAAAACATTCCTCAATCAACCCCAATCAATACATACAATAAAATTAAAACATAAACTTCATTAAAACTTAATTAATATTTTAATTACCTTTTAATTAAATATTAATTAGATAAATTCATTAAAAATGAAACAAAATTCAAAGACATAAAATGAACTCAAATAAAAACAAAATAAAGATAAAAAAATCTTATTTTAATTTAAAATAAATTTTTTTAATTAAACTTTAATTTTAATTTATTAAATAATTAATTTCATCTATAATTAATTACATATAATAAAATAACTAAAAAATACATTAAAATATTTAAAAATTTAAATAAAATCACTACATTAATAATTAAAATTTAAATGAAATTTTTGAATAAAATATAATAAATAAATTGTTAAAATTAACTAAAAAGAATTTAAACTAATTAAAAAATTCGAAATAATTCAATAAGAATCCAAAAATCTAATAATTGATCCAAACCTTAATCAATCAATAATCCAATAATTAAAACTATTAACTAATTAGTCTAATTAAAAATTTTCAACCCTTAATTTATAATAATCTGCATCAATTAATTTATATTAGTTATTATTGGGTAACTCGTGCCAAAGTGGCTATTAAGTTAGCCCCAAAGAGGATGAAATAAATTTTACAAGCCTCGTGTAAATAAAGGTAGTAATCACTCAATACTTAAAACACAACTTAAAATCAACTTTAAAATATTAATACGTAAACTCAAATCAAATCCCATTCAACCTTCAACAAATCAAAACATTAGATAACTTTAACAATTACTTAGCATAGGACATATCCAAGACACATAGCTAGATGCACACACTTTAGATGGTTTGTTAAGAAAAGCAACTCTAGTTTTAAGCTAGGAAAGTGTTTCCCTTTTTGCTACTTATGTGCCAGATTTTTTTTTTCACTGCATGTTGATTGTAATTAATTGATTGATGTGATATGTTAATTTATTTATACAATCTATGAATTAGTATGATGGGTAATAGATTACCCCTAGGTTAGAAATGATCTGGATGCTCATAGAGTTCTTTGCAGGTTGCCATGCCAATACAGGGCTAAGTTAAAGAGGGCAAAATTAAAATTTAAACTAACAAATTTTTTATAGTACTAAAAATTGTTAAGTCCCCTTAAAATTAAATAAGCATGGAAGAGCATGGATATGATTTTAGTTGAATAAATATATAACTATCTAGGATGTCAATTTTTATTATAATTATTTAGGATAACTCTACAGGTTATTTATAATACTTTTTTTTTAATTTTTCTATGTATTTTAATTTAAAAATGTTTTGAAAGTGTTTTTTGAAATGGGATGATAGACATCCAACTTAAAATCCAAAGAGGGGAACATCCCTTAGAGGAGAGTTTCCTTCTATTCGGAGATTCAAGTTAAGATGATATGAAAATCCAAAGAAGAAAAAATACACCCATTTGGGAAGGATTTTCTTTTATTTTGGATATCTGGACCTAAGAAATTTAAGGAGCTTGAAGATGGAAGAACAAGTGAAGATAAAAAACATCCCATTCTCAAAGTCAATTATGTCATTTTTAGGATTAGAATTCATGTTGTTGTCAGTAATAACCGACCACTTTTAATTCCTATAGACCTTATATTATAAATTAAGTGGCATTCACCATAAGGATATTTTGAATTTATTTAATTAATTGATTTAATTTGTTTAAATTATTTGCATAGTAGAAATGTCTGCTTTTCTAGTCTTTTTCTTTCATGCCGTGTTTTGATTTAACTTAGTTATGCTTAGAGGCTCATGAGGATACTATTAGAAAATTTTCTTCTTTAATTAAAAAAAAACTTTTTGGTTCATATAGTAACTCTGATAATTTTAGAAGTATGTTTAGGATCTCTAAGAGTTCATATACATACATATTAATAGCTTATCTTCTTTGTTACGCACCTCCCTGCTTGTAGGTTCTGTCAGAACACATGACCTATTAGGGTGCAGTTCTATCAATTGAATGTGGTGCAATCTCTAGGATAAAACTATTTTTATGCATGATTTTAAAACTGCTCCATATTCATTTTATGCATTCAAAGGTCAATTAATTACAGAGTCAAAATTTTAATTATATTTTATTTTTAAACTATCAATTCCCTACAAGTCATGGGGTTACTTAGGATTTACTCTAGAGTTCAGCCCCAATTTTAAAAAATTAATCAATAGTTTTATTTATCTTTTATTAAATGCTAAACACAAGGATTTTAATATCCTAGGTGGTTTGCTAGCTCTCAAATCCAGGCCGGGGTAAGTCCATATTTATATTCCATTAGCTAGATTCAAGCCACTATAATTTCTTGCCCAATTTAAACTTAGGATCTAAGGCAAACTGAAAATCATAAGTCCCCACATCTAGGAATATAATCCTAACTTTTTAATGAATTGAGAACTAAAATTAAAATATCTCAAAATTTAAAAGTTAAACTTCAACACATATGGTGGACTGGGGCATTTCTGAATTATTTCAGAATCCTAAAATGTCACGTACTTTTCTTAAGTTGACATCCAAAAATAATTATTCAACTTTGATCAAATCCCAGTTGATATTCAAACCTCACTTCCTTTGATATAAATCCTTAATAATTCAAAAAATTAAAATTTTGTTATTATTTTAATCAAGAGTCTTAGTAGGAAACTTAGATTTTCTATGATGTAATTAACTATGAGGGCTTGACTCATAGAAGATTAAAAGAACCTGGAT